GCCTTTTTATTCGTATTAAATATCAAAATTATTTAATGTCAAAGCATTCTAACGATTTGGTTCTAAAAAGAGATTCACCTATTTAGATAAAATGTTCTATGTTTCTTTCGAAAATAAAGTTTTTGCTTTCACTAACAACTAATCAATACATATAATATCTATGTACAAACATAACCGTATATGTCGTAAAATCACGGCTCATTATTCCAGACTTTAATAAATTTTAATATTTCAATCCCATTTTGAAGAACTAGAAATATAATGTTTTCAGGTGTTCATTAAGATCATGAACTCTTTATCTCAAGAAAAAACGCAAGAAAATCAACATCAAATTACGAAGAAACTCGCTGACCAATCTTTATCAAAAACTATGACAGCACTATTCCAAACTCTTCGGTCTGTTTTTGTAGTTTTAAAATCAATCCAGAATTTTTGACTTAAACGTGGGCGAATGGTTCTTAAATTTTTGAAATTGGTACAACCGTTTTTGAAGAAACGTTACAAAATAAAATTTCTTCTCATACTCACTTGTTCATATTCTTGTATGATTAATATGAGATAATTATAACCATCAATTCTATAGTCATTACAAAATCATGTTACTTACAATTTTTATTGACATGTCAAACACAAGTTCAAATAATTTCTGTACATTTTAAGATCAGTCTTTTTTTGTTAAGTTTAATTTCATTCTGAGTTTCCAAAATGTTCTTCATCGCCTATCAAGTTCATTTCGCGTGCTTTGATCACTGCTTCATTAGCAAACTTAAAATCCATGATCAAAGGTTTGTTAACTTTGTTATCACCGCTTTCAGGCTCATATCTGTATAGAGGAAAATAATAGCATATATATAAATGTATATGCCACGTTTTGCTTTATAAAAGGGTCTGGGCGTGTTTCCATACAGAATTGGCCCCACCCTGGGATTTAAATAATTTTGATGCCATTTTATAGGTATTTTCGAGAAAATTCGATATACCAAATTTCAAATCAGTAGCTCATCATTTGGCCGAGATATCAGTGAAAACATGTGAAAGTGGCCCCTTTTTTCAAACTCACTTTTTGTCGGAAGTATGAGAGATATCGAAAAACTGTTGACGTCATTCTATTTGTACTGATCTTGTCTATGTTGTTCATAACAAATAATGTGAACAAAATTATTTGTTAGTGCGTGAAAAGGTGAAAATGATTTTTCATTTTCACCTTTTCGCTCTTGCAAAGCGACTTTATATGAGCGTTCTTGTACTGGCAGCGCGCGTACTAGCTTAAGTTTTTCCAACTTTTCTCCAAAAGTTCCACTTAGATTTAAATGAGTTTTTCAATAATAGAAGAAAAATGTACAGGCTTTCGAATGATGCTAATATAAAAGTAGTCAAACAAGCCGCACTGGTAGAAAATGGAAAGTGAAAAATCATTTTCACCTTTTCACGCACTAACAAATCATTTTTTCACATTATTTGTTATGAACAACATAGACAAGATCAGTACAAATAGAATGACGCCAACAGTTCTTCGATATCTCTCATATTTCCGACAAAAAGTGAGTTTGAAAAAAGGGGCCACTTTCACAAGTTTTCACTGATATCTCGGCCAAATGATGAGCAGGATTTGAAATTTGGTATTACAAATTTTCTCAAAAATACCTACAAAATGGCATCAAAATTATTTAAATACCAGGGTGGGGCCAATTCTGTATGAAAACACGCCCATACCCTTTATACCCTAAATAACTTTAGCCCTAAGCCTGTTCATTTTTGTTTTCAACCAATCTTAACATAAATAACATGGAAAGTCTTCTTAAGACTATTCATGTATCACTCCACACAATTTCTATATAAAAGTATATACCCAAATCTTATTTCTTATTAAGTCCCTAAAACATGTAAATATTCAAAACTTGTTGTAGAAAAAACTCATAAATCTCTACTGTAATAAATTAGATTTAACAACTATTATAAACTAGAGAAGCGTATCTAAATAAACATAGTTAATAAAATTGTCTAACCTGTACCGATTCTTTGCTGAAGGTCGACGACTTGGAGGTTTTGGCCGCGGAGGCAAGTTGTTTAATAAGTAATCACCACTTCGAGTAGGAAGTTCTTTATTAGATTTGCATGATTCTTCACTTCGAACTGAGTCTGGTGTACTTTTGTAGTAATGAGAAACATATCCATCTTCACTTGATACGCTTGACAAATCATTAGTGCCGGGTAAAAATCTGTAACAAATAAATAAACAATTCAACAACATTCATAGATCATAGCTCAACAATCACATAGTAAAGAATAATAGTAATAATATATTGGTAATTATATAGTAGAAAAATATTCATGATAACGACACATTTGATGAAACAATGTTTATAAAAAATA